TCCATTATATTAATATTAAAGACATGTAAGTTATTAAAATTTATTAAACACAATTTGGTTTAATAAAATGTAATTTATGAAAAATAAAATAATGGCTTTATATATATATAATTGAAATCACCTAATTCCAAAAGAAGAAAATAAAATACTGGGGCCCTGAATTCCTCTTGGATCCATAAAATGCAAAACCAACCAAATATTTTGTAGTCGGGCGAAGAAGGTAAAAGAAAATGTATAATAGTAAAAGATGTCTCTCCCTTCTTTGTTAGCGACTGTTGACGGTCACTGACGTAGCTACTGCAACAGGTTTTAGCTACTTCTATTTGGCTTAATTCAATCCAAATGATTATAGTTTTTCAATTTTTTTGGAGTTGTTGAAATTTTGAATTTTGTTTCAGAATTTAGGACGAAATGTCAAGGTTGCGCGGGATATGGCAAGCTTCCCTCAATATGCAACCAAGAAAGGTAAAAGCTTTAGATTATTACTTTGGTTAATCTGTTTATTTTTCATTTTTTTTAAAATATCGATCCCTTTCCTTTGTCACCCCAATGGTAATTGATTTGAAATTTGTTAAAAACAAATGAAGCTCTGACATGGAACGTTGAGGATTGGATCCCTCCCGCTGAAAAATACATATTCAATTTCAGTTCAAAAGAGGAGATAAAAAAAATGGCATCTTTATTCTGATGCTGAATATGGAGGTGGCTCTAAGACTGCTCTCAGAGTTATTTCTTAACATGATTTTAAAGAAAATTTTGCTAAGAATTATACTTTTCAGGGTTGTCTTCGGCTTCGTTGGAGATCAAAGACGATTCAAATAAAACAAGCGGTAATCGTCAATATAAGTGTTGTTGTTAATTTTTTGTTTATCATGCGCGCGCGCGCGTGTGTGTGTGTGTGTGAGAGAGAGAGAATTAGGGTTCATTCAAATTTCATGACATTGATACACTTTTCATCATGAAAAATTTGTGTTTCTTATTTAATTGCTTATTATGCTTAACATATTTTGTTAGGAGTTTTCTCCGGAAACCTTTCCCTGGATGTAAACGAAGGTACGAAATGGAAAATAACCAGGAGCGGCTTTTGTGGAATGCGGTCCAAGAAGGTGAACAATAATTCCATTTTCTTTCATGGAGGCTCTGCTTGGTACGAATATTGAAAGGCATGAGAAAGGAGAATTTGTTAATCTAATGGTTTAGCTACAAAATAGGATAGTTGTCATGAATCTTAATCATTTGATAAACAATTATTTCATTCTCACGTTTTTTTCATCTTTCATACCAAGAAATGCTTAATTTCTAGAGTTTCCTGATTGTAATGGTTTAGTTATTCTTATCGCATCAATTTTAAGTGATGTTAATTTTCCGTGCCATCATCGAGTCTTTAGTGCTGAGTGCTGTCCTTAGATTGATTTTCCCAGAATCAAAAAGGTATTACCGAAAGGTTACTCTCTAGTCACTGAAATAATGTGGAACCATGGATGAATCTGGAAAGACTGTTTAGCTTTATGAATGTTGCATTAAAGCTTGCTTTCAAAACTCACTCTTTCAAATATCATTTTGAAGTGATAATAGTCTTCTCCTACGTATGTGGTATGTCTCAAAAAGACATGAATTGTGGCTTACCCCTTTGGTAGTTGTCTTTAGAATGTCATTTTTGGAACTTAGGACTCTGTCTTCCCTTTCTTTAGATGCTTCATGGTGTTAATTGTCTATCTATTTCTATTATATGGAGGGGCTTTCTATTTGTCCCAAGTGAGCTCATATCACTCCAACTTTAGGTTTATTTGTAAGATTTCAAATGAGGAAATGCTGTCGAATGCCCTTCTTCAGTCTTCATAGATAAAACAGAATGTTTTTTATTTTGCCTTTTGGATAAAGCAGAAAATTTTCACTTTATGTGCAAGCACAGTAAATTACATTGATTCTTCTGCAATAATTATTTTCATTTAGTGACCCTTTTATCTTCCATTCATATATCTGTAGTTTGATGGCTTCATTGATTTGGAGGCATATGATAGCATTAAGACTTAAAGGAGACGGGAGATGTTATATATCTACGCTGAGTTGTTTACATCGTATTGAACAAAAGTAGTAAACAGATATCAAGCCTTTTACTTATGTTGCTCCTACCTTTTTGAATCTTATACACTTCTATGCAGATTTATACGGAGAATTGGGTGAATTCTCCTGGACATATGGAAGATAATTCATGGCAATCTTTTGTTTTTGTTCCCAAAGACAGCTGTCATATTCCACAATCTAGTATTCTTAGCTATCAATATTACTGGTTTGTACTCATGGGGCGTATTTCAAAATATAACTAAACTCTTGAACATGGGATTTAAGTTATTTATCTAACAGGTTCTTGATTTCCACTTGCAATCGGAAAGAGAATTCAAATGTCACATGCTCATGTTTTAGATTTCTTCTGGTCGGGAGGGTCTCAATTTGCTTGGTTGCATCCCTTGTGAAATGTTTTTATCATTTAGTGGAGGTTTTCGACTCCTGTGTCTGACACATGATTCTTTTATATAAACTTTGCAATTAAAGTTGAGCAGACGCATATCGGAAATATACCAGAACCAGAAAAGGAACAACAGGTAGTGTCTAAATGAAGTGAAAATATTGGAATATGGTGCATAATTTGAATGACCTGGCACTTGCAGATACATCTGGATCAGTATTTGGCAACATGGAGAGGGGATGTGATAGAAGCAAAGTTGGGAGATGAATCCATCTCGTATACTTGGGATGTCTGTATTAGTTAATGCAGGTGGTGGCGTGCTGGTGATTTCTGGTGATTTCAGTTTGGGAAAAGGAAGAACATAAAATGTGAGGTATTATATTAGCATATCATGCATTCCCCCCCATGACCGTTATTTAATCAATTGATATTAATTTCTATTTTTTACAAATTAATCTCGATTATTTAAACTAATAATAATGTTTTATCAACAGTGCTTCGGGGGGGGAAAAGAAATCCGTAAAGGTTCAAAATTTTATTATTATGAACTTTGTATAATTAATGAAATGGTCCCAACTTGCAATATATATCACCCTATTAATGGAATGGACTATTCTTCTTTTATTTGGAAATTTCTGGATAAAATAATATAATATTTTTTTTCTGTTCGTTATTTAAAATTGTGGGCGTTGCAGACAAAGACATAATACGGGTATGATACATTATATGCATTTTAGAATGCTATCGGAAACTAATAATAATGGGAATGACGTGGGAAAATGTATTCCAAATGTAGCATTAGCACATGCACATGCAAAATGCAAGTGGTTGAATCCCTCTCCATGATATCTCTGATACTTTGGAACACACTGGAAACTTTGACTCACTGCTATTATATACTTTCAATTAATGCAACGATACTGATATTGTAAATATTAAAATTCAGACCTTAATGTATTAGTATCCGCAATATATAGCATAAATAATTGAAGTGCATGCACCTGCGTAGATGAATATCACCAAACTAAACACAAATACCTGATCTTTATACATATAAAAAACCTATCAGATAAAACATTGAATCCATGATTAATCGTTCAGTGATCTTTTGCGGTACACAAGGGGACCAAACCATACCCTTTTGGGGGTTTCTTTCCCTTGTTCTGGAGATCTTCATTATCTATTTTTCAAAACAGAATCAATGCAAATTGCGGGAGAAAGAGATGATGATTATGATAGTGTGGTGAGGGCTTTGATTGGTTGGTTCTACAATGTTAAGAGAAAGAAAAAGGCACGTGATTTGGACAGATTCCAAACCAAATTCACGTGGCCGTTTCTAACCTGTTTCATAAATTTGGAGTTTGGACCACTACAGTACTTTCGAGACTGTTTATTTTGGACCAACCACCCGGGGTACAAGCTGCTTCAATCCCATCCAGACCATGAAAGAAATCGCGTCTAATTGAGAAGCATCATTACTTGAGTTTGTGCATTTGAAATGAGTTAGTTAATTAGACGTAATCTCATCCGATTATCTTATTTTTCCCATGGAAGCCGTTCAGCTGTAGTTAGGGTTTTGTACAGCTTGATTTCAGGGGTGTTTATTCGATCATCTTTTTAACTAGTGATCAAAAGGATGCGTATACTTTAACAATGTGACTAAATTACCTAGTTATGTATATAATACATGATTAATTAACTTATTGTTAACATGCTGAGAATGCAAAGTGAATCGCAATGCTTAGTCATTGCAATGACCTAAAACTTGATTTATTGTCCGTTTAATAATTTGATTTTAGTTTTAATAAAACAAATAATTTGATTATCTTTCTAAATAGTAATCAAACGGTTATATACCGTTTGATTAAATCAAATATGTATGTATACTAAATTATTATAGTTATATATATCAGGCATATGCATGATATATCTTTGGATTGTTCATAATAAAAAGGTGAACCTCATTTCAATCAAGTTGTGAGAGAATAATGAACACTCAAGTTAAACCACTTGCCATTTGGGTTTTAAAAAGGAACTCGATCATCCTACCTCCATAGGTGGACCCCTTCAACTAGGATCAAGTTGAACCAACTTCGAAATTTTTATTAAAATAATGTCCTGAAAGACTCCATCTAGAAAAAAGAAACTTTAGGTAAAGAAAATTACTTTCTTTATCTTCAATTTAAAATCATACAAAAAAATTTAATTAATGCATAGCATCTACAAGAAAATGAAGGCACGTGCTAATGCGGGGGCAGCGCAACTGAGCTGACGACAGACAAAAGTGAACTGGATTAAGCTCATTTTACACATTGGAAGGGGAATTACATGGTAAATTGAGCCAATTTTAATAATCGGATACGCGATTAGGCAAAATATCCCCGTCCTTCAAATCAATCATCACCGTCCATTGGCCTCCACCTTATCTATTTTCCTCACTGTATCACTATTTTATTCGTTTGCACACAAAAAAAATTTGAACAAACAGATTCATGTATATATAAATTCACAACAAGCGAAGCAGCAAACCATAAAAACTTGTATAAATAACCGGTTTCTGGAGAGCTACCGTTGTTCGCAGAGATTCACTTGCCTTCCTTTCCCTCTGTTTTTCTTTTTCTCTTTTGTCTATTACAATTTTTCCCTTTACGGAAACACATGCTGAGATTCCGTGTTGCAGTTCCCACAAAGATTATAGTCCTAAGCTAGGTTTCTGGTTTTATGTTTTTCTGTTGCTTACTATAATTTGTCGACAAGACAAGGAGTTGTGTTTTGAGTTTTGGCGTTGGGTTTGTGTTTTCGGGTTGTTTATCGAAGAAATGGCAAGTGGAGGAGCGAAGAACAATGATTTCTATGCTGTTCTGGGGTTGAATAAAGAATGCACTCAAGCAGAGCTCAGGACTGCTTATAAGAAACTTGCACTGGTTAGAGTTTTAGCATTTGATTTGAATTGTTTACTTCGTGGTGTTAATAATCCATACTTTGAACCGATACCGAGTTCAGTCTTGTTTTGGCTTTTGGCTGTAAAATAATATCCAACCCTTCCTGTGAAAATTCTGGGTTTCTTTCCGGGGAATTATACGCTTGCAATGAATTCTTTTGTTGTAAAAAGCAAAGTTTGAATTTGGTGTTTGTTTGATGGGTACAGAGATGGCACCCTGATCGTTGCTCTGCATCGGAAAATTCCAAGTTCGTGGAAGATGCCAAGAAGAAACTCCAGGCCATTCAACAAGCCTATTCTGGTGATTTTCTCTTTCTATCTACTTCATTTGTCCGGTTAAATGTGTGTGTTTTTTTAAATTATCACATTCTCGTATTAAAAAAAATTAAATAAGCAATATAAAACATAAATGACACAACAGAGGTGGTATTATTTTCCTATTGTATTCCTCATTCAATTGCAATTTGCAGTTTTATACTCGTAAAAGTTTGGGATTTCATTTGTTTTCTATTTTCTCTCTTTTTAAAGTAATTTAAGTGGGAGTTATTTCTACAGTTCTGTCTGCCGCAAACAAGAGGTTCCTGTACGACGTAGGAGTTTATGACAGTGATGATGACGAAAATGTAACTTTGCTTTGCTGTTGTCCACATCTTTTTATTTTATTTTTTATTGTCGATACATGTAATATTAATTTCAAGTAGATTTAGGTCAGGGTTAATATTTATTTTCATGGAATGGTTTGATTTCAGGGAATGGGAGACTTTTTGAACGAAATGACAGAGATGATGCTCCAGACAAAACCCAGTGTAAGTCTTGTTTCATTGTTTCTGGATTCAATATACTAGTGGAATTTGAAATAGCTTATATATCTGATACGAATGTGTGTTTTAATGTATAGGAAAACGGAGAAGAAAGCTTGGAGGAATTAAAAGAATTGTTTGAAGAGATGTTCCAAGCTGACATTGATTCATATGAGTCCACTTCTTGTACTGCTTCATCTTCGTTTGGGTCTTACTGTCAGGGTTCCAAGCAGAGTTCCTCCGATAGCAGTTCGGGGGAGACCATCCCGGAAAGCTTCGATGCACAACTTAATGGTTTCTTTCTCGGGGTAAGTCGGATCTCCTATCACTCCAATCCAACTAATATAGTGTCCCAATAACATATGTAACAATGGCCTTACAGAATATTGTGTCCTCTGTTCTGTGTTAAGAAACAGGGTTAATTGTGATTTGATTGATAGGGACTCATTAGTCATTACATAGCTTGAGTTTTCCGTTTTTGAAGTAGCTTGTTAGGTAGCACCTGGTCTAGTCTTTTTTGGTTAATGCTTTTGTTCAACTTTTGTGTCAAGGCATCATGTGTCATAAAATAGCATTGCACCATCGAAGGAGCATAACATTGGAGTAGGTTATATGAGATGCGGAGGAGAGACAGGTAAAATGTCTTTTGTCTGTTTATTTCAGTATCATGTCGTCTAAGGTATAGATAGAAACCTTAAGTATTTATTCAAACAAAAAATTCGACCGATGCATTTGAAATGCTAGTTACATTGTTTTTTTTTCAACAACATTTCAAATGTAAAATTCTCATGAAAGCCTTTTTTTCCGATTGATGTTTTCAAGATAGATAGACCAGAAGCAAGGTATCAGGCGACAGAGAAGAGCCATAGGAGGAACCGGTCGTAGTAGACGTAGGGAGGGCCGGAAGCAAAAGGTTTCGTGGGGCCATGATGTTTCTTCCAACGGCGTCGGCATTCATCTTGGTAACACCGGTTTAGTCATTAACTTGATTCAATTTCAACCTTACCATTTTGGCCCACCTGTGGCCAAGATGGTGGCAGACTGATCGTCACAGTGCCAAACAGACAACATCAATCGGATCCAAAACTGTCGGTTCGGCTGTTTTCAGTCGAGGATTGCTAAGAAACGAGGGAAACTGCTAGAGTTTGATATCAAGGCCGTCAATGGAAACTGCTAATAATTTACTTTTCTCTCTCTTTAGTTGTAATTTATTTTTATTTCAAAAATTTATAAATTCACTTATTCAACGTAATATCATGTGCTTATCCCTAATAATAAAGTCTTTCTCACAACGGTGAGGCAACACTCCCCAACATTAGGAGAGTCTATAATTTATGTAATATTTTTTTTTTATGAATTTGAACATATTTTGATTTTAAATATTACGAATATTCTATCCTATATTCCTATTATCTGAGTTCATTTCACTTAATTTTATATTAAACATCATTAACATACGGTTAGACGTAATTTAATTAGAGGCAACAATGGGCCCTAACTAGAAGCTACCTTACAAGTTGCATAAAAGGTTCCTTCACATCTTCTCTATCAGTTTCCACTTGCCATGCAACTTGGCAGCTTGCATGGTTTTTTTATTCATCATCACTATTTCTTTTATTTAAAAAAGAAAAGAAAAACTGATCTCAGGTCAAGAGCGCTGTTTGATTCCATTTGAAAAAAAAAATATGGCAAATTGGACAAGTTGTGGAATAGCCGAGGATACAACAAAAGTAGCAAGTTGAAGTTTAAAGTCTTGATGTTAACAACCTTTACTTTTCAGTTTCAATTTTTAAGGCTAACAAGTTGAGTGTTTTGAAAAGTATAATCGGTTAGGTACCAAGTTCAGATGGAATCACAAAAAGGGTAAACTACGTATTTAGTATCTAAACTATCAGTTTTAGTATGTTTTAATACCTAAACTTTCATTTTTTATTCTTCAAAATCATACTTAATGTTTATCTTTTGTTTTATTTTAATACCTCATTGTTAAAAACTTAACACGTTTAGTATCTAAACTATCAATTTGGTCCATTTTAATACCTAAACTTTCAATTTTTTAGAACTTAATGTTAAATTTTGAACAAGGGTACTAAAATGAAACAAAAACTAAACTTTGACATGATTTTGAAAAAAATGAAAGTTTAAGTACTAAAACGAACCAAAACTGATAATTTAGGTATTAAATGCGTAATTTACCCTCATAATAATTACAATTTAGGCTGTATTACTTATGAATCATCTAAGATTCATTCCCCCACCGAAATGATTCAATCTTTAATTACATCGTTGTCATCTTTATTAATACGGCAAGCAAGATGTTGCAAGTTGGGGTTCACACGTTTCCATATATTGATCTATACTATTTGTAATAAAGTAGTTTTAACCTTTCTTTCCTTTCAAAAGCATCTGTCGTGTTATAAAACAAATATATATATATATATATAACTTTTTGGGTAATAAATATTTTAATCATTCAATTATCATATTTTACATTTTATGTTTCATTTGTATAAATTACATATGTTAAATTCTGAATAAACAATAAATTTTAATTATTTATTTTGTGTAAAAAATCAATTATTAAATGTATATTAAAATATATAATATCTTGGATTGATATTTGATTGTTTTAAAATTTTACATGCATGACAAATTGAATTATAGTGATAAATTCAAGTGTTGAATTATTAAAATATTAATTATAAATTTATTTTGGAAGAATGTTAAAACTACAATAATTTTACACCGGTGTAAATAGATCGCTTCCCTAAATATTTTATACTAGGTTTATAATATTTTTTAGCTAATTAAATACTGGATTTTATCACACCAATAATGTAAATGAATAAATATATTTAATATTTAATTAATAATATTAATTAAATTTTAATCAAAATTATAAATATTTAATTAATTTACAACACCAGTTCAATCAAAATTTTAAAACAAGTATACTTCAGAGTACGTACATTAAAAAAGAAAAGAAGCCCAATAAATGATGGAGAGTAGTGAACTTGTTTGGGCAATCTGATACCAACAAAGTGGATCATTCCCGATAAACATGTGAGACATTATCGGGTCAACCCCTCAAGTTGAAGTTGAACCAGCCAGCCCAAACTTTCAGGGATATGCCTAATCCAATTGCCCAATCTTCTTATTCCCACAACAATTTAATATAATTTATTTTTATTATTTTTTGCATTGTAAAAGGGGAAGCCCCAGCCTTTTTCGAATTTGTATACTAAATTTAAAAAATTTCACCTCTTTAAAGTTAACAATATATATTTTTAATGGCAACCATTTTTGGTGCATACCCAGTGTTTCTTTTTCATATCAATTATGAAAAATATAAATTCTTAAATGCTTAGAAATCTTTAAAAGAAACATGTATAGAAAAATTAGGCATAATAACAAAATCATCACAACATTTGTACAAATGGTTGTTTGTCTCTTATCATTTTGTCGAACATTTAGCTCTTGAACAAACATGTTTAGATGAAAATTGTTAGTAATTGTCAATATTTCATACGGACGTGACAAATTCATGTGTGATACCATTTCAACAAAAAAAAATTTTTTAGAGTAAATTATAATTATAATTAATTACATATATACTTATGAAAATATATTTAAAAAAAACAGTTTAAAAATATTTTTTTATGATGTGATATCAATCTTGGATTTGCCAAATCAATAAGAAGCATTGATCGTTAGTCAATTAACGATTTTCATTTATCGAGTAGACATTTTATTCCAAAATAAAATGTTAAAGAGTTAATGTTCTAAAAGAAGATACGAAACAGTGATAAGGTTGGAGATAATTTTCATACGGGTAAAAGCTACCAAATTTACTTCAAACTTGAGTTCAACAAATAGGAATAACATTCATATCAAAGTTATACATGACACCTTGCATATTCTCAGAGTGCAAAGTGAATGGGACGCGGTTTCAAGTAACTAGGCTCTTCTAGTCTAGCGTTTACCGGTTACGCAACGCATACGGTTCTCTCAAATGCATCTTTCATGTTTTTGGTGACCGCACTGCGGTAAAGGGACTTTGGTATACTTATCTCCCATTTGATAAGTCATCGTTGATACAAGAAAACAACACGAAAGTCTTTGTGGGGGGGCCACTAACAGAGATGGATTTGATAGAAATTTATTAGAATTATAGAAATTGCATAAGTGGACCACTTCTGATGTTAATTTGACACCCAAAAACATTCCAACTTTATATTTTTTTTAACTTTCACTTTAATTCCCACTGATATGTCTGTCCTACTCATTTCCTAATTTATTATATTATTTATTTTGTTTATAACCAAAATTATTTGTTTAATATCTAATCATGCTGGTGGATGTATGGCCACACAATTGGTTGAAATTAATAAAAGTAAAAGGGAAACCTTTTAGTCCAAACAAATAGGGTCTCTTTCTTTTTACATTAATCAAGAATTAGAGGTATGCAAAGATCATCCATTGGTTCCTTGCTTGAATTTCTATTTGACAAAAGGCTGAGCATTTTGAAAATTGTTTGCAATCCTCCAAATGCAATGTACATCAATTATTTCATGCTTAAAATAAAAATAGGTGACTAAGTTATAATTAAAATTGACTTTTGATGTCTAAATAATTTTTCGTTAAAAATATATGCCTTAAGTCTTTTTCGTTACACGTTTAAATCCCTAAATCATGACCGACATTAAATTTGGCCGTTATTTGACAAATTTCGGCCATATAAAATTTCAAAAAAAATACTTAGATTTATTATTTTTATAAAAGGCAAAAGGGTAACTTTTGCATATGTAGTAGACTCAATTTATCTCTTTCGCCCCTATCGTATTTTCATATCAATTTAGCCCTCGAAGTAGCTCAATTGCATCAATCTCTACCCAACCCCTAACTTAAAATTCTAAATTTTAAATCCTAAATCATAACCCCATAACCTCAAAACTCTAAATACTAAACTCTAACTTGGGGTTTATAATTTAAGATTTTAAGTTAGGGATAGAGTATAGAATGATACAATTGAGCAACTTTGAGAGCTAAATTGATGTGAAAATACATAGGGGAAAATAATAAATTGGATCTACTACAAGGGCACCTTTATAAAAAACCTAAAACTTTTTAAATTATAAAAAATCCAAAAAAACCTAATTTCAATCCTCTCATCATCACCAACAACCTCAATCGACCAAAATCTTGATGACGATCGATCACCAAACACCCAACGGCCGAACTCTCATGATTCAAATGACGATTACAACAAAAAATGGATGATTGCAACGTCACAGTTCCTTCCATTTGTCGATGATTCAAGCTATTCTTTGTCCATCTATCGTCAGGGTTTGTTCGTCTATTGTCGGAAATGAGGACGAGAAGGAGAGATGGAGGGAGAGAAAGCAAGAGGGATAGGGGAAGGGACAACAACGAGTGGGAAGGTCATCGTGACAGGGAGGGGTTTCTAATTTTTTTTTAAAAAAAAATATCAGAAAAATACAAACGCACGCGTGTAATTTAACGATTTCTTTTAACGATAGACATCTAAAAGTATAACTTAAAAAATACTAAACACTTATTTTTCAACAAAAAATCTTTATATACTAAAAGTTAATTGTAAGTATAATTCATACACTTATTTTTATATCAATACATTGTTTTATTACATCGCATCGATAAACCAATAATGTCATTATAAACTTTTTTTCTTTAAACTGAAACGTCGACTGTTTTTTTAAAATCCGAAGACACTAAAATATTTTATTCTCCCTCGGTATAAATTAGATTTAATCATTATTGTGTCAGTTTTATATTTATCTAAAATTTAATATTTCAATGATTCGTATTAATTATCATGTTACCCATAAGCTTTTGCAGGTTCAAATGTTGTAGCTGCTGAGGCTAGTTAGATGCAATATCATTATCACGTGACCAACTAAGGGTCCTATACTCCTATATTCTCTCACTCTTGCGCAAACCAACTCTTAGACCTTAGTATATAAAAAAAATGAGTATATTTCCGTTAAAATTATAATATTAATCAAATTGATAATTTATGCATAATTTTATTTAAACTAAAATATCAAAACTTTTAAAAGTTATTTTTTATAGTTAAATTAAAAGTTTATTGATTAAACTTTAAAATATAAATATTCCATTTTATATAAAATCATACATAGTGGTGATTAGTGAACTATAGTCAACAACAACAGAGTGTTGGTGGATGGAGATTTAGTTCCAATCTTATCTAATTGACGTGTAAAGCTTAGATTTAGGAGAGTGGGAGCCACATGTTCCCACCCTCTTGGACCAATTCTCCCATTTCTTAGCTAAATGGCTCCTATTAACTTTGTTTTCTGGTTCAGCTTGTCTTCAGCCTCACTTCCCTTTCCTCCTCTCGGCTTAATTTATTTATTTTTCTTTCTTTTATCAAGTATAAAAAGTATTCTAATATTATAAATAATTTACGTAAGAGTTTTATGTGATTTTAGAATTATTCACAATTCTTTTATTTTATAATTTAAAAGTTATATGTGTTTTTTGGTTTATTTAAATTATTTTGATAAATTCTAAATCTAATCCTAATCTTATTTAGAAAGAAGGGGAAAAGGGTCTTTAGGGAAAAAATAGGAATGCTCCTAGTGATTTTAGAACTCATAATCTAAAGAAATATAAAAGAACAAAAACGAACAATTTAACCAAACATGTTGAGTCTTGGTTTATCAAAATTTAGAATTTATTAATGTTTAACAATTATATTAAATGAATTAAGACTGAAATAGTAATTAAAAGCTTATTATTATCCACATGGACGGACCTATATAGGGAGTGGACCCCTATCAAAATTTTTGGTTTTATATAATTTTAGGTCTTTATCATTTTAAATTTAAGTAAAATTAAACTTTTGCTTTCTCAAATGTTAGATTAAATACATAATAAGTTGTTATTTTAAGTGTCTTGTCATTCCCAATATTTGATCACGACTTCGTTCTTCTTATCCAAAAAAAACACTCGTTAAATGTCACTAATATTATTAGTTAGTGAAACACACATATATATATATATATATGAACATTATTTATTTTATAATGAAACATTTAATTTTTTTTAAAATAATTTATATTTTTTTAATTTATTAAATAAAAAAATTATTATTTTTGAATGAAGTTAATTTAAAAAGTAAGATTTTGAAAACTAAAAAAACAGAAAGAAAAGTTAAAGAAACTAAACTATTTTATTATTGAAAAAAGTTGAAACAAAAAATGTTGTTAAATTATATTTACATATTATACACTAATATGCATACTTATTTATGTATGTTACTAATATTTGAATTCAGATTTGTTAAAACAATTATATCTTATTTTGTATTTCACAATCATTTATTTTTAAAAGTAATCCCAATTTCTATTAAAAAATAATCCCAGTTTAGTCATGAATATTTTGATAAACTATATACTGATAAATTAGTATGCTTATAAAATTCATCACTTAATTATCAAAAGAATAACTAATTTAATTTGAGACCTAAACGATCCCAAATTTAACGATAGTTCCAAATTTGTTGGATGGCTTGAAATGAAGCCAGATTAGCCGGAGCCATGCAGCCCAAATTTAGCCATCTTTAAAACAATGAGCTTCAACGGCCTTCTCTGTCTCCACCCTTCCTCTATAAAAAAAACCCTAATCCACCATTTGTAATGAGAATAAAGAAACAAGAAACTCTTTCAACAATATCCCCACTACCTCGCCAAATCTTTCCCTTCATTCGTTTCCTCCCCTCTCTTAGTAACAGTCGTTTCTCTGCCGTATCACAAAAACAAATATATATAACAAGAAGAAGAAAAACATATATATATATATATATACACACACACATATACACGAGTATATCGTTTGTTTGTTTGATTGACGGCTTTTTAACGGGTGTTACGTTATAGAGAAGAAGAGTTTGACCATGGGAATCCTAGACAAACTTTGGGACGAAACGCTTGCCGGGCCTATGCCAGAAACCGGCCTCGGAAAACTACGAAAGTACAATTCATTTTCAGCCACAGGATCATCGTCTACTCCTGTTGATACTAGCAAGGTGATGATAACCAGGAGCATTACCATTCTTAAGAGCAACTCTGGTTTGAGAAACATATCTGTGGAGCCGGGTTCAGTTCCCGACTCTCCTTCCGGGTCTAGCAACCCTGGGACACCTTTGTCACGTATGTTCCCTTTTCATGTTGTATTGTTCTTCGTTATCACATCCTTAGATCCACCTGGAAATGCTTAATAAATGTTTTAATGGTTGCAGCTGGGACACCATCTGGGGATTTCAGGAGATTCACGAGAAGAAAATCGCCCACAGTCCAACGAGATGAACCCATAAGTCCGACTGTTTACGATTGGTTAGCTCTCGTTTTTTGTTTGTTATTTTGCTTATGAATTCAATTGAAAAATAAATAATAATTTGTTCCAAGTGTTTAACTAATCATGTTTTGTAAATTCTGTAGGATTGTGATGAGTGCTTTGGACCGTTAAGAGAGAAAATCGGCGACTTTTCTTTTGGAGGATCGACAGATGAAAGAAACTTTTTGTATATATATATATATATATAAAACTTCTGTTGAAGTTTCACTATATATCTTTATGCATATATATAATAACTAATAATTATGATGATAATAATCAAGAACAAGAGGATTGGATGATTTGAAGGAAGCCCGATCGAGAAATTATGGCCGCAATTCTAGGAGTTTCCGAAGGGAAGAGATGACAGACATAGTAACTTGTTTTGTACAATAATCTCACTTGGTTCTCTTTTGTATTTTTACTTTTTCTCATGTACATATGATTTTGTGTGTGGTTTACTTTGTCTCTGTGTTTTATCTGTACATATGAGTCTCTGTATATTTTCATCCTCCTGTAAAGAAACTCACTCGTTTGCAGTTTGCAAATATATAAATAATATACAAATTTTAGCATCTTATCTGATTTGTACCTTATTATTTTGAAGAGTTTCTTTAGTATTAATTTTAATCTTAATAAAGGTGATTAATATATTTGCCATTGTATGGCTCGACTGGATTTGGGCCCGGTAAACTGGGGTAAAGAGTAGCACTCCCACTAGCTTTAGGATTATTTGGCTATGCGTGTTATCAAAAATTCATTTTTTATAGATCAATGAGTCGGTTATACATGGAAAATGATAAGCATCTCACAACGCCCAAAATTAATACCCTCAATTATACGTTGTCTAAATAGTAAAATTTTACAAATTTAAATTCAAAATTTAAATTATGATCCTTTTATTTCTATAAAAAAATTTAACAGAATGAGTGAATCCCTTTTTGAAACATTTGAATCAATAAAAATGATTTAATTCACTCGATTTTATTTAAAAAGGATATTCCCTTACTATGTAAATTAGCAAAAATTAAAATCTAGTCATATCGGATGTAATTTCGTTAACCCACAATACAAGACAACATTGCTTTTAATTCTTTTGGGGAAACGAGAAAACAAATACATGATCTATGAATGCAACAGTAATAACATGTGTAAAATAAATGAAATATTTACATATCATGAAATAAATAAAATAACGAAATGCTAAAATAAATAAAACACACAATAAATATTTACTTATCAAGATAATCTTATTAAAAATACAAATATTTAAAAATGAAAGATTTATTTAAAGCGATTAAAATATATCTAATTGACTTAATATATCATAAATATAAATAAGTAATAAATAGCGATAATATTTCGTTCGAATAACCCTGGAAGGGCACCCCAAATTTTTAGAGGTCTTCTAAAGGTTAGTCGAATAATTAGTAAAAGATCTAACAATAATATATTTTTATTAAATATAAGTACTTGATACAATAAAAAAATCTCCTTTTAGTATTATATAAATACATATCTAATTAAAAATATGTCAAAAAAAAGTACTTATACATATAAGTAAATAAAATACTCTTATTAAACCGAGTAACTAAATAAACTATAATATATGTTTATATATATATATATATATATATATATATATATATATATATATATATATATATATATATATATATATACACATAAATATATACATACATTTATCCTAAATTTTAGACTTTAAAACAAAAACTTATTAAATAAGAAGTCAAAGCTATTTAATATAGAGAATGCACATTAAAGAATATTTTCAAACACAAATAACATATAAAAACTATACATTTTATATGCATATTAATTTGATAAATATACTTACCAAGTACAAGTATTATTTACATATAAGAATATATATTACCAACCTATGTTAAAGTAAAAAAAGAAATGAAAAGATATATTAATATATAAACATGTATATCAATACACAAGATATAATGATTAAAATATGTTACTATGTACAAATATAAATTTAATACATAACAAAAATACTTAAAGTAAAAATAATTATATAAAAAGCGTACATACTAAATATAAGGACCAAAAACAAAGAAAATAAAATAATAATATGAAAATAATAATAAAAGAAGGGGAAACTTCCACGTTAATGCATGGCCAATATATTATTTCCCAAAATAATATACTCATGCTATTATTTCCTCAAATGAGGTGTTCGCTACAGAAAAGTAAGATTTCCCGGCGTCTTAAGTGGTGTGGGATTCACTATCGGATATCTCGGCGTCTTATATATATGTTAGTTCAAAAGATGTTCATGGGAGCTCTCGACGTCTTCTATATATGTTCGTTCAAAAGATGTTCATGGGAGCTCTCGGCGTCTTCTTCAGCCTTGGGGTGGAGTTCTTGGCGTCTTATTCAGCCTTGGGGTGGAGTTCTCGGCGTCTTCTTCATCATCATCATGCAGGTCCACCAATAATGCATGCTAATGAGTTAGTTTGGAAGCCAATAATTCAATGAGTTTTGGCAGTTAGAAACCGATAATGCCAAAGGAAATTTTATATCAAAGCATACACTTTATAAAATGTTGCAAAAGTATTGGGCCCTAGCAATAAACAAAAGTACATGTTTTATAAAAGAAAAGTTTGGTCCCTGGCAATAAACGAAAGCAAGCACATGTTTTATAAAAGAAAAGTTTGTTGTTATTAGAAGAAAATTTATAAAAGTATTAATTTTATGAAGTGAAAGAAAGAAAGGTGACAAGTTAAGCAATAATGCATGCAATAATCAATAGAAAATTTTGCATGGTGGTGTAGTAATCCGAAATCACTCCATAATATGTGCGCATGTGAAGTAATAATGGTGTTGTTAATACAATGAATATGATTTATAAATAGGAGGATAGTGGTGTCTGGGAGAGTGAGAGAGTGAGTTCGAGGAGAAGTTAGAAGAGAAGAGAAGAAAAGCTTACATCGAGATTTCGAGAGTTATTTCGGGAAAAAAAGAGAAAAAAGTTTGAACAAAGGAAGAAATAAATCGGATTTATAGTAAGTTTTATGTAATTTTTATAATTCATCCATTATTATAATACGTCGCAATGAGGGAACAGATCGAGAATCATTTACTGTTAATTTGCGACAAAGATGGTGTGATAGTGGCCGCTTTCAGGCGTGGAGATATCCGTGTGCTCATGCAGTCGCTGCATGTATGCATACTGGAATCAATTCATACACTTATGTTGATGAGTGCTTTCACCTGCACAGGATATTAAATATATACAACCTGAGTTCAGACCAATCCCAAATGAATCTTATTGGGAGAATCGAGATCATGATGAATGGTTGCCAAATCCACTACTTCGTAGAAGTCCTACAGGTCGACCGGAATCTACTCGTATTCATACCAGTATGGATATACATATTAGAGAGAAAGGCTAACCGAAGAGGTGTGGATTATGTAGAGGTGAAGGTCATTCAAAAAGAAATTGTCCAAACCTTCCACAATACAGACCGCAACAGTAATCTTATTATTTTATAAATTTGTATTATTATATTTCAATTACTTTAATGATTTAACTTTAATGATTTAATAATAATTACTTTAATGATTTAATTTTAATGATTTAATAATAATTACTTTAATGATTTAATAATAATTACTTAACTTTAATGATTTAATAATAATTACTTTAATGATTTAATTTTAATAATTTATAATAATTACTTTAATGATTTAACTTAATGATTTAATAATAATTACTTTAATGATTTAATTTTAATGATTTAATAATAATTACTTTAATGATTTAATAATAATTACTTAACTTTAATGATTTAATAATAATTACTTTAATGATTTAATTTTAATAATTTAATAATAATTACTTTAATGATTTAACTTTAATGATTTAATAATAATTACTTTAATGATTTAATTTTAATGATTTAATAATAATTACTTTAATGATTTAACTTTAATGATTTAATAATAATTATTTAACTTTAATGATTTAATTTTAATGATTTAATAATAATTACTTTAATGATTTAACTTTAATGATTTAATAATAATTATTTAACTTTAATGATTTAATAATAATTACTTAACTTTAATGATTTAACTTTAATGATTTAATAATAATTACTTGACTTTAATGATTTATATTTAATGATATAATAATATTAAATATATTCGATTCAATTACTTTAATTTGATACAAATAATTAAAATAAGGATTACAACTCTTGTCGGTGTCGGGGTGTTGTTGAGTAATAATGTTGAGGCCCACGTCGGTTTCGTTGTGGTCGTTGCACTTGTTCAGGAGTTTGTTCAGCATAACCAACCTGCTCATTCATCGAGGGCATAGGTTTTGGTGTTGTAAATATATGCCCACCACCACAATGCTCTCCCATCTGAGGACAAACACTCGTACTTGTCATCATAGATGTCATCTGAACAAAATCATTTGTTGCCCCAAACATAGGAGAGAACATAAGTGATTGATGAGGAACATACTGAGGAGTGTAGGGCGTAACACCAGAATCACCAACTACTTGACTAAATGATCTTGTGTGATCAAAAGATTCTGGTGGGATATTATCCATTGTCTCTTGTTCTTCTCCACGGTGAGAAGAACTCCTACTCCCACTCCCACTCCCAGTCCTTCTTGGTTTCTTGGGTTTACTGAATTTTTTCGTATACTCTATAAATTGTCGTCTTTCTCTGATCGTTGTCAAGAACGGCTTTCCATGTTCCCAAAAATAATTCAGGTAATCCGAACTCTTGAAGTCAAAGTCATCTGCTTGTATGGGAGTGAGCGTTGGCAAGTATGAACCCCTGTTGTTCCAATGATTGATATGGTTGGCATGCCTCACCGACCAATCCTCACCGACCCTACCCCGCCCATCTAATCGATGGAGAGCATCATGATTCTCTGGAATGACTGGAATATGTTGGTGGAAGCCGAACTGCCTCAACACTCTATCGGCAAATTGGAACTCCACAAACATGAAATGGATCAATGGTGTAACAGCACACCAATATTCACAACCCTCCCAGACATGTTGCGGTACGCACGACATAATTTCTTGATCATCGTACGGCCTCCAAATAAACTATGAAATAAAATTATATAATTATTATTTAATTAAATAATTATAAAAATCAACAAAATAAATCAATAACAATATTATAATATAAACATAATAAAAAATAAATTCACTTATTAATTTTATATATACCTCAACTACATTGTGGATCGAGCTTAAACTCATTTGCCAACCAAGATAATCTCAGTCGTGACCCTTTTGCTATATCTTTGTCTGGTACCTTCCCAAGGTAACGCTCACATGTTGCAAACACGTCAAGATCTGTATTTCCCACCACTGTCATTCCATTTATAGGAACCCCGAGTTATAAAGCCACATCCTCCAAAGTGATCGTACATTCACCACATGGAAGATGAAAAGTATGAGTTTCTGGTCTCCACCGTTCAATTAATGCACTTATCAAACCGGGGATCAACCAAAATTCTCTTACAAAAGCAACATCATAAAAACCCACTATTTTCAAATTATCAACAATA